TTCCGATTTGACTCGTGGGAGTCGTGGGCCGTGGCATATGAATTCATCTCCACGCCTACTTTCAGGGCTATGTGGGAGTTTTTCATATAGGTACCGAGTGGTCTGTTTTAGTTGGACACGTTTGTAGAATAACGGCGCAGAGTGGATCGAGTCAATCAGAGAGGTCGGACATGACTTTTTTGACAAAAACTGCAGATTTTCATGTTTACTTGGTCACTTATTACATTTCAAGGGGTGTTTCTGGCAGAAAATTTCACGAGAAAATTAATGGATCCCTTTTAGAACCGCGAAATTTCGTATACACAGAGTTATAAGCGTTTAAAGATTCAAAATTTTGTTCGACCTCTCCTATTGCCTTGATCCACTGTTTGGAGCCTCGTGTTTTAAAATATTCGCTGTAATGGAACTCAGGGTTGGATTCCATTGGGTTGTAACTAGTACTCAGTAGAAAGTTTTTTCACTCTAATTGATATTCTTGAACTCTCTGGCTCCGTTTTTTACACAAAATAGTGTAGACCCAGCCCTTTTTCACCACCTTCTAATATTAGTAATCTATTCGAGGGTTGCTCTTTGTTTTGTCGACAGAAAATTTTATCCGACAAATTTTGTTAACTCTGTCTTTATGGTCGGGTCTTTATGATTTCCAAGAAATGCATGCTAACAAAGAAAATAATAATTCACTCTCAGGTTTCTTTCGGGAGGTAATGCTTCGCCAGTTTCTACGCAAAAAGAGCAAATTATCTGAACGAACTTCTGAAAATGGACCTCGTTTAGCAGAAAAGAACCAAGCTACATCAGCTATTGCCAAATTTAACTGAGCAGTTTAATACTTTACAGGAGAACGTTTATGCAGATTCCTTTGAACATTTAAAGGAATTTGCACAGAAATCCGCACAGCCGCTATCATGTAAAAAAGTTGCCTGATTAAATCTGGCAATATTCGATGTGGTTTGGTTTCTTTCTGCTTACCGCGGTCTAAATTACCGTTAAATTTCCCGCCGTGCCGCGCGTATGTATTAAACTTCTCTTATTTTTTTGTGTTTACCGTCCTTTTCCCGCTGCACTCTTTAATTTAGGTGCAAACGGAAGAGTATGGAGGTAGGCTCATGAAGAGGCCATTAAAAGGAACAGAGCTGTTGTAGGATAGGGGGGAGGGCTGAGAAAGTGAAAAATTTCTCGATTTTGCTGCGGCAAGAAGATGATATGGATGAGGGCTCGAAAATGGGCTTCCGAACAAAAGCAAGGGTGACCTATTTTTCTCGGTGAGTTAATGCCCTCTCGAGCCCGATGTTACCAAGTCGATGATACTTTCATTCGAATTCTGCTGTGCTGAGGAAAAACGCCGTATGAACCTTCCGGCGTTGCCAAATTTCCTTTGACAAAACAAGAATCTCCTGGTAAACTTATGAATATTTTTCTTCTAACTTCTTAAATAATGTTGTCCGTAATTTCACCTAAAGTTCCTGAAAATTTCAAGGAAACATATTCATAACTTACCTTAAAAATAAGCATCTTATTGAAGAAAATTTGGCAACTCTCGAATGTTAATACGGTGTTCTTCCTTAGTACGGATGAATTGGTTTGCCTCCACGATATACGTAACGAAAATGCAGTTTGAATCTTACTCCGATGCCAATTAATGTACATTCTTCATCGTTCTCATAGGTCTCTAAAGCAGTTTTAACTATCTAAAGACTCGACAACGCTGAGGTGGAACAGATTGCTAAAATTCACACTCAGGGACGATGATTTTATGGAGAGGATATAAAAAATTCTGCCCTGCCCATCGAAAAAACGGTTGCTTCTAATAATGCTCGTAAAACTACGTATGATATCATCTAAATTGCTTCGCTTCAATATTAAGTGCTAAAGAAATAACTGTTTGAATCTTCCTTTGATGGTAGCCTACATTTTTCACAATTCTTATTGGTTTCCAAAGAAGTTTTATCTTGGTCGCGAGCGGCTGATTATAGAACTGTAATTACCCCGAAATGCGTCCCTAAATACTACCGTGCTAAGGAAAAACGCCGCATGAACATTCGAGAGTTGCCAAATTTATTTCGATAAAATGTTTATTTTTGAGATAAGCTATGGATATTCTCCCTTGCAATTTTCAGGAACTGTAGGTGAAACTGCGAACAAAATTCCCTAAAAAATTGGAAGAAAGATATTTACACATTTTCCCAGAAATTCATGATTTTCTTAAGGAAATTTGGCAACACCTGGAGGCTTATACGGCGTTTCTCTTCAGCACAGCAGAATAGTATACCTATGTGTGTGAGTAAGTACGCTTTACGCGAAAGAATTTTACTCATTGTAAGTTTTATCTTGTCTAAAGACCCAACCCTGATTTGCCATTCTAACAATGCCTCTTAAAAAAGCACTCTCAAGAGGTATTTGAAAATCTGTCAGGAATTATGTTCTATGAAACTCTTTTGGGATATTACAAATTTACATCTGGTAAAATTAACGTAAAAAGTTCATTTAAAAATACGCGTACATACTATTTTTTAAAAGTTTAAAACACCCATTTTCCGGGTTAAAGAGGTACAGTAGATTAAATAAATTTAAAAGTAATCTAACTCTTGTTTTACTTCAATTTTACCTCTTGTTATTTTACTTTCAAAATTACTAAAAAATGTCTCTATAAACATAAAAGTTTATAGCTCTTTATGAGTAACAGTTTTAAAATTTACAAGTTTTTCCTAATAGTTTTTACTACCAGTAGACGCCTCCCTTTGGACGTGACCTTCGATACTTCCGAAAAGTGTATACTTATACTTATCTAAAAATTGAATTTAAAAAGAGATTCTTTGACAAGGCTAAAAAAAAACTCCTTTCGGTATTTCACATGTTGCAAACTAAAACTCTCATTATGAATGGTTTCGCTCTTAATTAAAAAAAACTGCTCAAGCAAAATCGTGGTAGTTAGAAAGAGACGCGGCCGTTGTTAACTGCAGTGTTATTCCTCAGAATTTTCCGAACGAGTGCCGCTCTCTGGTGAAAAATATCAGACGCGCTAACCTTGTTGGTTGAGGGAAAGTCCAATAGAGAGCGGCAGCAGATGCTGCGCGGCTCGGAGCTTGGCAGTGAACGGAGAGTGAAGGTTCATCGTTTCATCTCCAGTGTACCCACATAAATACTTTATTACTCCAGCTTTTTAAAATTCCTCTGATGTTATATAAAACGATATTGCTCGCGGTTTTTTCAAGAAACATCACAGAGTTTGCCCCCTTACAAAGTCGCAGCAATTTTTCCATCATAAGAGGCGTTCGGGAGAGTACATCTACCGTAAACCTTTAGCAATGCACCCATCATACACTATCATATAACATTATAAGAGGTACGCGTAAGGCATGACGCCTAAGTCGCGAAGCGCACGGGGTTGGACCCTGCAGTGGTCAGGAGGCGTAGCCGTAGCCCCATAGTCATGAATTATTTTTGAATACCTGATACCTGAACGCCCCAGTAACATTATTCTGCGGAAAATTTGCAACTTATAGAAATGGAGTTTCGAATTTTTAACCTCATTGCGACGGATTCGTTAGAATCAACGATATTTGAGAAATTCACTGTATTATTATTATAATTTTCCAAAATTGTTCCTAGCAATGAAACTGTCATTGATGAGCTAGTCGTTACTATGCTTGTCCTTAAGACGGCATACTGAAAAAAATTGTAAAGAATGGAGAGAAAAGAAAAATAAAGATTTTTTTTTTTTTTTTTAAACTTTTGGGCTATAGGACATTTCGTCAACAATTTTTTGTCCACGCACCTGTTTTTTCCAGTAATTTACGTCCACGCGTTTTTTAGGCACGGGAGTTTTGGTCCACGTGCCAGTTGAGACCCAAAGTTAATTGGCCCACATGTAAATACATTCGACAATTGCTCACGACGTTTTTGGATGAAAATATAAAATGTCTTGGAAGAATCAGGGTTTGCATGTTCTTTTGTTTTGTCTGTTTGGTCCAACGAAGAATAATATATAGTTGAGAGTTTTGGTAAAAATGGGGGAGCGTCAATTCCATGAGACAAAATTCACTAAAACTCTCTACACCTCTTTGGTATAACAGGACTTAATTATCTTTCAAGAAATTCCCACCTTGTTATACCTGAACCGGGTGTAAACCTCTATACTTGCCTCAGCGAAAGGTTCTGAGATTTTTTTTGTGTACGATAAGTATCTTGATTTATTTTGCGAGGAAAGACCTGTACTGTTAAAGGAAGCCTGTCATTCTTAATACGTTCAATTTCGTATAATACTGTGCAAAACCTCTGTTGTGAAATAGTTGCTTCAGGCGCCGCTGCACGGCGGGCGGGCGGGCGGCCAGCGCAAAACGCGCATTGGCGCCTACAAACCTAAGTGGATACTTCAAGCATTGCGCAATGCGTGAACTTAGGTTTGTAGGCGCCAGTGAGCCTCTCCCGCTCCGCTTTGTTAGGCTTTAATATTTTGCGTTTTATGATTTTGAAATGTTAGCGCACTCTGCATTGATTATTCTCATTTAAATTTAAATTTTTAAATTGCCGCAAATACTTGCGGCAATTTAGCCGCTATTTTTTTTTTTTTTTTTTTTTTTTTTTTTTTTTTTTTTTTTTTTTTTTTTTTTTTTTTGCTAATGCTAAATTGTATTCGGAAGCGGAAAGATGTTAGGACTTTGACGGATTTTTAGTCTCAAGATATTGAAAATTAGAGAGGTATTTGTAAAAACAAAATAACCTCGTAAACATTGAAAATTTGAGTATCTGCCTAGGCGTTTGATACATATAAAATGCCTGATTTGACTATTTGCCTAACACAGGTATGCGCATTGGCGGATCTGGAAAATTAGCAACATTGTCCTTTCTCCATTTAAACCTATAGAAATGTATCGATCCTTGGAGGGGCCACGTGTTCCAACAGAAATCGATTATTTAGCATAGGTTTAAATGGAGGATATCCGGTGTTGCCAAATTGCTGGATCCGCCTCCGGGTATGCGGTTTTGATGCGTATACTCACATGATATCCCCGAGTTTGATTTTGGTCTGGATGAGGGCGCAGGATTTGTGGTCGGACGTGGTTCCGCCCCTCCGCTGGCGTCGGTAGCCCGGAGGCATCGTGGGTGGCGTGGGCGAGCTACCCCGGCGTCCGCGCAAACTCATGTGCCTTCCAACCGCGCCACCCAACATTCTGAAACATTCAAACCAGCAAATAATCATCAGCTCATAAGAATAAAGAGCCATAGAAAAAGTTTTGAAATGGTTATTACCTGATTTATTTTTTCGTCCTGGTTATCTTAGTTGATTCTTCTATTCAAGTTGCGATGTACATTTCGGAACACCTTATTCCATCTTCAGGCCACACATATTTCAATAGCACTATGATGTAGCACTATGAATGTGCACTAACACCAATATGTGTGGCCTGAAGATGGAATAAGGTGTTCCGAAATGTACATCGCAACTTGAATAGAAGAATCAACCAAGATAACCATGCAGGACGAAAAAATAAATCAGGTAATAACCTTTATCAAACCTGGTAAAATGGATAACTCACATAATTTAAGTTTTGAAATTTCTGGAGGCATAGCGACGGTGTAAGTCGGCAATCACATAACTCGTTTGCGGTGTCTGAAAATCTCCGCCTCTATGTTATTTCGTTAAAGGAGAACAATTTGACATCATACCTTGAAGTTTTTGCAGAATTTTCCTCGCACCGAGAAGAAAAATCACGGCAGTTTTAAGGAGTTGCCGTTGAGTAGTTTCCCGTTTAGAAAATGAAGTATGACAGGAAGTCTGCGACGTCGCGTCGCAAACCGAGTTATGTGATTGCCGACTTACACCGTCGATACGTAGAAATAGGATATCGACGGTGAAACTACCAAACCACGTATCTCGGTTTGCGACGTCGCAGACTTCCTGTCATACTTTATTTTTTAAATGAAAAACTACTTAACATCTAGTCTTGAAAATTTCTGTGATTTTTCCTCTTTGTGCGGAGGAAATTCCGTGAAAATTTCAAGGAATGATATTGATTTGGTCTACTTCAAAAAAATAAAATGTGAGCGTAGATTTTTAAACACCGCAAACGAGATACGTGGTTTGGTAGTTTCACCGTCGATATGCTAGGAGCAACAGAGATGGATTTCTGGAGGAGGTCAACAGGAATGGAGATGTTGCGTGTGTGAAGAATTTGCGATTTGACGATTGATTCTTATGTAAAAGTTCGCGAGAAACACGATGGTGCCACTGATTTTCTCTGAAATCAATTCCCAAGCTCAAAAAAAGCTCTTAAATTTAGGCCAAAATGGAGGAGACATCTCACGCTATCCTGAGAGTCCACCTCTACATTAAGACAAACTCTTTATGCAAATAAAGGGAGGAAATACATCAGTAGGGTTGCCGTGTTTTCAATTTTAGAGTCCCCAAATATGGTGGCGGCCCTGTCAATATATTTGCACCCTAGCGTTCCATGGAGAGTTTGTCTTGATGTAGAAGTGGACTCTCGGGATAGCGTGGGATATCCCCTCCATGTTGGCCAGGCCCGAGACGTGCGGCGCACATGGGCGCCAGCCTTTGGGGGGCGCCACGAAAGAAGAAGAGAGGGGAAAAAGGGGGGAAAAGGAAAAGGAAAAAAAGGGAAGAAAGGAAAAGGGGGAAAAAAGGAAAAGGAAACAAGGTTGGGTAGTGAAAGCAAGGAAGAAGGGGGGAAATGGAAGGAAAAAGGAGGCAAGAAAAGTGAAAAGAGAGTCCGCGAGAAAGGGGGGGGGCATAAAAACCATAGACAAAATATAAAGAAATATAAATAAAATTTATATAAAAATTCGAGTTTCCGGTCGTAAAATACCCTGAGACACCGAAATTCAGAAAAATCCATCGAACAGGAGCCGACATAGCATTTTAGGCCACGTCCGCCATCTTGGATTTGAGAATTTTCAAAAATCTACTAAAAATTCGAGTTTCCCGTCGAAAAGTACCCCTGATCCCGCGGTTCACAAACCTCTAACGAACAGAAACGGAGGCCAGAACCGGGGCTCATTTTAGGCCACATCCAACATTTTGGAGTTGAGAATTTTAAAAAATTGACCAAAAATTCGAGTTTTCCGTTGAAAAATACCGAGTGATATCGCGTTTCACAAGACTCAAACAAACAGAAACCGAGATACCATTTTAGCCCACGTCCGCCATCTTGAATTTGAGAATGTTAAAAAAAAGGACTAAAAATTCGAGTTTCTCGTCGAAAAATACCTCCTGACACCGAATTTCAGAAAAATCCATCGAACAGAAGCCGAGATAGCATTTTAAGCCATTTCGGATTTTCGAATTTCGAATTTTTTGAATTTTGACAGATTTTGATTTAAAACGCGTGATCCCCAAAATCGAAGCTCAGATTCGGATTCCTCGTCAAAAATCGATGCGATTTCATGTATCATACACTGACACCGAATTTCAGGAGAATCCATCGAACAGGAGCCGAGATGGCATTTTAAGCCACGTCAGTTATTTCAGATTTTCGAAATTGGAAAATTTGACTTAAAACGCGTGATATCCAAAATCGAAGTTCAGATTCGGATTCCTCGTTAAGAATTGATACAATTTCATGTATCATACCCGAGCATAGCGTGAAGGAAAGAGACGTAACGTAGACATACTGATTCGAGCATATATATCCAACGTGGCAACATGGGTAGTGCTCAGTGGGTCAGCCGGTCAGCGGAGGAGGAAGAATAAGAATTTATCGCGAGGAATTCCTCGCGACGAAACTGAACGCAAGCGCCGGCCGGCGCCTCCCCGTTCGGTTTCACTCGGGCGACCCGCGCGGCGGCGTACTTCAAACGGGTAGTATGACAGAATCTATACGCGTCGTTAAACCTTTTTCCTCCACGCTATTTTAACATATGATACATGAAACCTCATCAATTTTTCACGAGGAATCCGAATCTGAGCTTAGATTTTAGATATTACGCGTTTTACTCAATTTAAAGTCGTAAGAGAATTTACAGAATTGTCCTTGAAAATTGATCACACATTAGTGTTTTTTTACGTCATTAAACCTCTTTCCTTCACGCTATTCTAACATATGATGCATTAAATCTCATCAATTTTTCACAAGAAATCCGAATCTGAGCTTAGATTTTGGATATTACGCGTTTTAATCTATTTAAAATCGTAGGAGAAATTACAGAATTGTCCTTGAAAATTGATCACACATTAGTGATTTTTTGCCCCGTTTTTCTTCTACGTTCACGTAGTGAAATTAGATCAACAGTTGACTCATCGACTAGTCTAGCCTAACGCCCCAGAATCGGGCTAAAGGGCGAACGATTTTATCATATAAGATGTGCAGTCCTAGTTTCCGGGCAATTGCGGTTTGATGGAAGCTGCGATAAGGAGAAACGGAAGATATGCAAAACTCGGGCGGATATTAAGTGAGAAACCAGGTAGGGGAAAGGCTTTCTTCCCGAAAAGTTAGTGCTCGGGCCAACTTACATGGTCACTAGAGTACCTGTATAGCGAGAGTATGGACAGATCGCTTCATGGAGGGCTTAGGGCCCAAAAGTGCAGCCACCCTTCTAACCAACTTCTAACGCACAAAATTTCACTGCCAGTCTGCAGATTCCAATTCTAACCATGATGGCATAGAATGTACAGAAATGAGCGTTCTTCCGCGAAATTGAGTAAATTTATGCAAAAACTGAGTCAAACACGTGCTTAATAAACGACGGTTCGGAACAATAGTATTAGTAAATCGTTCTGGATAATTGAAATTCATAGGTTGGCTGCATTTCTGGGCCCTAACTTTATTCGCAGAAGCATCGGTGAAGGCCTGATGGATTTTCGGAGTTTCACATCTGTCCATACTCTCGCTATACAGGTACTCTAATGGTCACTGGAGCATTGTATAGCAGGTTGTGGGAAACTATTTTTTTGCAGCAACAACCAATTGGATTGCATTTTGCAAAAAGGAACTTAGAGCATTTCAATGTTGCTGGGATTTTGCAACTTAGGTACATTCTTTGCAAAAAGTAAACTTTGTGACGGTAATTTTCGTCTTGAATTCATAGTTTATTGGGAGTAGAGGTGAAACTACTTTAGATGATCGTTTATGTTTGCAAGGTTAGCGACATTGGAATGCTCTTGTTTGGCCTCAACTTGAGAGCTTTTTTTGAGCTTGGGAGTTGATTTCAGAGAAATTCAGTGGCACCATCGTGTTTCTCGCAAACTTTTACATAAAAATCAATAGTCACATCCCAAATTCTTCACACATGCAACATCTCCATTCTGGGAGAGTTCGGGTCCGTAATGATACAGTGCGTCGGATAATAGAAGTCGAAAATGACATCGTGTTCGACGTCTTGACCAAACAGCCCATCTGGTACGGTCATGTCATAGTAGGATGTCGAAAGAGAGGCTGCAAAAAAAGATGCTTGATTGGGTTCCTTCCTGGGAGGAGACGAAGGGGACGCCCGGTGAAAGGGTGGCGACAGGGAGTTTTGGATGAGATGAGGGAGGGCCAACTCCCTGATGTGCTGGTTACACGCTCAAACTCCCATCAATTTCCGATCAAATGGTGACTGGTGCACACCATCTACCATCAAATTTCTGCGGCCTGCAAAAATTTGATGGTAGATGATGGAACTGTGAGGCTCATCCTTCATCTGATTTCCACACAACCGTGCTTATTTCATGCTTATTTCAATCAACACGCTGTTTCAATAAATTTTACTCATCGATCTAGATAACTCTCGACCGCCATCTTGATCATCATTTTGATCGGAATTTGACGGAAATTTGAGCGTGTAACCAGTTCATGATGACTGGTGGGAGGACCCGAGTTTTGTGGCGGTTAGGCGTCGCAGAGCGCCAGAGAGCGCTGAGAGAGCTACCCTTATCTACAAGTAGAAATCCTCCACTATCATACAAAGTCATCCAAGGTTCAAACTGCCAAGCTGCAGGAGCGTTCCATAGATGTTCCATAGATGGAGGTATGACGTTTTTATCTAATGATTTTTTCCCCAAAGAGCTTTTTAAGGAGGCTACAGTCATCCAAAATTCTGGGATGTAAATCGTTTCTTCTGCAATTTGGCGACGGTAATACGCCGAATCTCATGGAAACTGGTGTGCAAACTTAATTAAATACGCTGAATCTTTTAATAGCACTTGAAGAATCAAAATCTCAGTTTAAAATGC